AAGACGGTACCTTTGGTAAAGGTACTATGGCGTAATCATGCGGTGGAAGAAGCAACCTGGGAGACCGAAGAATCTATGCGAACTCAGTACCCTCATCTCTTCGACGACCAATGACTCAGGTAATTTCGAGGACGAAATTCTTTTTAAGGGGGGGAGAAATGTAACGCCCCGAAATCTGGCCCAAAAGAATTAATTAAATTGTTAGAGCAATTGATTACGAATTGGGCCTAAAAAGGGGTTAAAATTATAATTTGGATTTTAAGCCCAACTTTTATGTCATCTCGTAGGAAATATTTTTGTGATCGCGTCGGTTCAGACGGCTCGCGAATCGGAGTTATGGAACTCAAGTTATGACCATTTAATCAGGTATTTTGGGTCCGAAGCCCAATCCTTTTTGGAATGGGACCATTAAATAAACCTAAACCTATTATCCTCCACACGATTACCTTATCTTCTTCTCCCATCCTTCTTCAATCTTCTTCTTCGTCTTCCCGGCCATCGTCGCCGCCGTGAGCAAGCCGCCGATCGACCTCCGCCTCCTCGCCGCACCACTGCTGCCTTTCCTCGCCGCTGTCCCGTCGCTCACCGCCAGGTCCAGCGCCGCCGACCACGGTTCCCAGTCTTCGAGCCGCGGTCGTCGCCGTCCAACTGGAGCAGCCAGCCGCCGGCGTCGCCGCTCATCGCCGCCGTCGATTGCAGCGCCGCCGAGTTGCAGCGCCGCCGCTGTTTCCTTCGCCAGTAGCCGCTGCCATCATCGCCGACGGGTGTAGCGCCGCCACGCCAAACGGAGGACGTCGCCAAACGCCGGACGTCGCTGTTTCGCCCTCGCCGGAATCGAGAGCCGCCGTCGCCCGAGCTTCCAGTCGGTCGCCGAGCCTCGAGCCGCTGTCGCCCTTTGCACAGTGGCCATCCGCCGCCGTCGATTGCAGCACCGCCAGTTGCTGCTCATCGCCGTCAAGCTGCCGCTACGCCACTGTCGCCGGCGTCCGTCACCGTCGCCGCATCCGGCCGCTGCCCCGAGTTGATATCGCCGGCAGATTAACTTCCACGCCGGATTGACTGGTCGATTTCGTATTTTGACTCGATTTGACCCGTTCGGTTGATTTCGTTGACTTGTCTTCCGTTCGAGCTATCAATTCGATTTCGGCGTAATCCAGGTCCGTACTATGAAGTTAATAGCATTTAGAATAGATTTAATGGTTTGGATCGTTATATGTGTTTATGCTATAATTTGGCTAAATTGGTTAATTGAATTAAATTGATTGTTTGAATTGAATTGTTGAGGATTGTGAATTGACTGAACAGGTTTGACTTTGACTTTGGTTAGGTCATGTTTGACTTGGACTTTGACTGGATATTCTGTTGTCGTAGGTTTGACCGGATGGTTAAATCTAAGACTTTAATGAATTAGTTAAGTTAATTAATTAATTCTAATCGGTGATTAAGGTCAATTGGTTTATTGTGTTGAACATAGAAACTGGCCATCGCTCGGGCGGCTGCAGGGCCTGGTCAGTGAGGTTAAGATGTGCGCACGAGGGTCTGCGATCTTGGGTTTGAGGCCATCGCCCGAGGGATCCTACCTCCACCGAATTGAGGCCATCTTCGGTATTACGGATTGAGGCTATCTCCGTCATAGGCAATAAATGTTAAGTGGTTTGACTTTGGTGAAAGTCTAAATTGGTTTGACCGGTGGTCAAAGAGTTCATGAGAAACCCGTAACACTTAAATCGTTTTGAAAAGAAAGAAAATAAGTTGACTGTTGGTCAACCGTCTAAAGAACCGAATGTAAAGTTGAATTGATTTTTATTAAAAGGATAAACATATGAACGATCTTAATTGTTGAATTATTATGTTTATTCTTGTGCTACAATGGAGTACCACTCAGCGTCAATGCTGAGCGGATAGCGTTGTTTTCTTTTGCTGTCCGTAGGTGATCAGACAGATGAACCTAGAGCCGATCCCAGAGGGCATTGAGGAGGAGATGTACGATGGCGTGGCTGTCTCTTTAATCTGTTGATTATGCTTTATTTAATTAACTTTAATGCTTATTACGTTTTCGGGCAAGATCCCAAGTTGTTTGACTTTAAAAAGGCTTCCGCATTATTTTAAATTACTCCGATGGATTTTTATATGTATTGATAAAACGTTTGTTTAAAATTGTTCTGAAAAGGTCGCAAATTCGGATACCAATTCAGTGGCACGCCGGTCCGCTGTCTCACGGGTTTGGGTCATGCGGGTTGGGGTGTTACATTTTGGTATCGGAGCATTTGGTTTTAAAATCGGTCTTTGGACCCTTTCAAAAAAAAATACAATGAATAATTCAGCCGCATCTGCATCTCACGTAACTCCTCTGCCCCGGGAAGGTAATAAGTATTTATAGCTTTATCTGTTATATGTTGAGATCTGACGAGGGAATTTCCTTATTATTTTAGAATGAGTCAAGAATCGACCCACGGTCAGTACGTTCCGGAGCCGGAGCACGTGAGCGTGCACACGGTGAACACCGAGGGTTCGAGTTTCACGCCTCCATGTGACGGAGGGCAACAACAGAATCAACCTGCGCCAGCGGGACAGCCACCAGCTGTACCACCGCCAGTCGTACCACCGCCAGTGATGCCACCGTTGGCGATACCGCCGGTGGCCTACGAGCAGATGTTCCCGGCCATGATGGCCCATTATATGCAGCACATGGCGCAGTTTATGCCCATGTTCCAGCCACCGCCACCACCACAGCCGCAGCTGCGCATCGTTACCTTCAAGATGTTGAAGGATAATGGAGCGGAAGAGTTCCGAGGAGACAATATGGGGGAGCCCCAGATTGCATTGGATTGGCTTGAGCAAATGGACCGGGTACTCAAGAATTTGAGAGTCCCAGATGCTGATCGCTCGGAGTTGGCGTCACAGATGTTCCGGAAGGGAGCATATGATTGGTGGAAGCGCATTGACCAGGATCCACACACGCCCAAGCCGTGGACCTGGGATCGCTT